GGTTGCACGTCAGACTGTTTTAGCTTGTTACATTAGGTTCTGAATGAACTTTGTGTGACCTTTCTTCGGCAATTCTGAAGTCGCACTCTACAAACGGACTTCAAATAGAATAAATCAGAATCAGCTTTCTTTTTTCTCGCTGGCAAAAAAATCATGATGTGACTGCTGAATAGAGGAATAGTCAGCAGTAAGTTCTAATGTGAGTAGTCGTTATTTTGAATCAGTCACAAAAATTATGAAGGCCTCGTTTGTCTGCCTGTTGCTCTGCTAATTGTCTTCATCACTGTAAAATGTACACTTCACCTGATGCGTTCGAGTGGAAGACGAATAGAAGTGATAGTTTGAATTTCCTTCCACTGAAGGGATGAACAACGATAGATGATTTATATCGACCCACCATTTGTTGTTTATCGACGCGCTGTCACATGAATCGAGCTGAAGGCTTTCTTAAAAATTTTCTTTTGTTGCTCTTGAAAATTCATTTGCTTCTTGAACAAAACACATTATATAGTTCACGTCAGGCCCTATTGCAGATTGCATACTTCCATCTAGCACAATTCTGAAACCGACTAATTTGCCATCTAGAGAGAAAGTAAAGAAAGATCCGCCTTTGATTATATGATTACTTGGAGGGCAAAACGTAGCGTGCGTGGCGTTGGTGAGAGACATAGAGATATGTCAGAATTTCACTTTACTAGTAACATCATATAGAAGAGTGAATAGATATTCTACCTAAAAAGTGACTTGTGACAATCGTTCCACAAAAGAGTAATTCTATCTTCTCAGAGAACGCCGATCTTAGATTTCAAGACTCTTAGGCGCTGGTGGGCATGGTTTTTTTGAGACGAGAATTTGAACAAATACTGTGTGTGTATTTGGGCCACTTCTGACAACTGAGGCACTAAAAAAAGTTACTCATGATCTAGTCTTTCCAATTCAACATTCGGATGAAGTGAGAAGAACAAAGTTTTTCTCAAACCAATAATGTACAGTGCTGTGCAAAAACGTTTACGTCGGCTGGTTTTCGAACCCAGATCTCATTCTTTACGGGAGTGCGAACTGAACCTTTGCACTACCGACGTCCATTTTGCACACCACACTCAACCGGTCAAATAAAATGAATCGTTACTGATTAATGAAACCTAATATCTGTCGGCATAAGCGGGTTCAATATCGATAGTGACTCCCTACACCAGACCATAGACGGTTGGGTGTTGATAGGTAACGCGTAGTAACGTAGAAAGAGTGGTGTACAAAACGGGCGTCTGTAGTGCAACGGTTCAGCACGCCCTCCCGGAAAGAAGGAGATCGGGTTTAAATCCCACCTGACTCATGCGTTTTGCGCGCCACCCTACATTACTGGGTTTACTATAACATCATACAATCGCAATACGCGGTCAGATAAAGTGAAGCCTGACTGATTATGTACAATTCGTCGATTGATATAAATCTAAGGAGAATTCACTACAAAGACACTTCCATGTCGATGTGAAACACTCTTCAGTTCATTGCATTCAACGATTGTATAACGTTCAGTTTTCTGAGACGTTTTCTGCCTTGTCGTCTGTAATTTTCTTTTGGGATACCTATCCTTATTTAGGTCACAAAGTACCATGTTTCCTGCAAATTCTGCTCATAGTCATGCCCACTCGGCATAATGTAGTTCTTCTATATAAAAGACACCAACACCACGAAATAAGTTAGTCTTTCTTCTTTAAACAACTCAATTACAAAGGAAAATATATTCACAAGGCCCTTCAATCGACTGTTTTTCAAACCTCGCTATAATCATTCAATATAGGAAAATGTTTTGTAGTGGGGTTGGGATTCTGATGAAGAGGGCGTGACTGCGAAAACGTATGTAAGCCACTGACATATTAACCTCGAAAAGGCTTAAAACATTATTCCAAACTATATTCACATGTATAGCCCAATGTCCTGTTAATCACCGATAAACTTAAAATGATAACACTAAACTAAATTCGTTCTTGGCGCGTACAGCTTAGCATGAGACGTTCATTTTACTTGAGTACACCATAATCATCACACTGTTTCTATGATACCATTTTTTGTACAGCTTTTGGCAAAGACATCGCAACTGTTCAATAGATTTATAACTCACCGTGCTCATAAGTCGCATTCGTCGAGGTCCCACTCTCAGTTGAGCCTCCGAACGGAAACATCCGAACGCTTGAGTTACGCTACTGCGGAAATGAACCTTCGCCACACATCGCAGTTGAACACGTAGGAATCGAACACTATGCTC